CTGCACTAGCAAGGTAGCATGGATGGGTAGCATGCATGTGTTGGGGAAAAATTGGACCTGGTGTACCACTGTAATAGTGGAGTACATGGCGGAAGCGCTATGAGATCTATACATGAACACACTTTGAGGGTACCCCCCTCCTGAAACTGTTGGCAGGTCGACTCCCCCAACTACACCTCGGAGCCTGTTCAAACCTACGGTTAATGATGTAATAACTCCGTCGGTTTTCTATATGCTTACATGTTTGCAAATTGAAATGACAACTCACGAAATAAGGTGCGGTTTTGCTCGTTGTGATGGTTGCTTTCTTCGTCGAATGGTATTGCATGTCTGTAATGTTCTTTTTCCCTTCTTTTTTCTTCCCCCTTTTCCCTGACTATTCCCCTTTCCCTATCCCCCCATTTTTTTCTGGTTAAAACGAGGCTGCGCGTGGTAGGAACTCGAGCATGACAGTGAACTCGTTGGTGGGTGGTGGGCAGAAACCATCGATAGAAACCCATTTCTCGTCGACTTGGAACCATATTCCAAACCCACCCAGTCTCTTATCAACGTCATCCACCCGCCAGTCACTACCATGGTCAGGGACAAGGTTACGTCTGGTCAATTCCCGAGTATCACCGAAACTCTCCTTTTCAACGATTGGGCGGACCTAGCCTGGACCTATGAGCATGAGAGGCACCAGATGGATTCGATCCTAGCGGGGCACATAACCAAGGCTGAGGAGAAAAGGATTAACTTCACCAAAGAAAGGGATGGGATATTGGATAGAACAATAGGACTTGAGGAGTCCCTTAAGAGGATCTTGGAGATAGGTAGGGAGCTGGACACGGATGACTTGAGGGTGGACGAGGATGGATATGACCCCATACTCATGAGAATCTTGGGGGAGGAAGAAGAGCAGGCTCCGGATGCTACGAGACAATCAATCCCCTCCTCCGCCTCCATCTGGGAGTAGGAGCGACGCAGACCAGGGGGACAAAAAAAACGGTTTTATACCCATAGCTTCGGCCCAGGGTAGAATTGAAAGCAAGGTAGCAGCAAGACAGGGTGTGGGCACAGGGAGGCTTTAATTATCTAGCCCCGATTACGATCAAGGGCTGGAAATTTCTTGCCGACCTTTCAAAAAGTGAAGTTCAGGAATGTAGAAGGAAGCACTCGCGGGGATCCTGGATTTTGCCAGCAAAACGCCACACTTCGGTGGCAAGCTGCCCCTCCCAACGATGAGCATCCTGGACCCTACTAAATGTGTCTATGCCAACCCGGTGGTCATGCCGAAGATGATCACCTCCTCCTTGAGTCTGGACATGAGAAACCTCCAGAAAGTTTGGAATATTGGCCGCCTGTATCTCAAATGCAGATGTGGGTACAGAAACAGCCGCACCTGCAACGCGGACCAATCTGGTTTGACCATGCTATGTGATACATCATGGCCAAGCCTGAAATCGTCAAACCTGAGGGAGGCTCCAATCGTGTCAGAATTGCGTTATTTCTCCACCACCTGCTGGACTTTTGGAAGGACCTGGCGAAGGCATCTATTACCTTCATCTGGATGAGATAAATGATGCTAACCATTCTTCGACATTTGGAACGCAACCCTGAATTGATGACGGCTGATGCTCTTGCCGGAAGCACGTTCAAATCCCATCCCTGCCCCAGGATCCTTGCTAATCTTATCCTTCCCACCCGTATCACACCGGGCCAGCCTGCCCCAGGATTGCCGAATCCGGGGAAGAAGAAGAACAGGTCCCCGACGGGCGGAAGGAACAAAAGACTTTGTGCAAATCCCCCCAGGCAGCAGATCCTGCTAAACTCATTCAGGGTTGCTGCAAACCCGCCTGGCAGCTCATCTTCGTGAACGAGCAGCAACCAGTAGTCAACGATTGTAATCGGCAATCCAACAGATGACGATTCTGGAGCAGGCAACTCAAATAGGAAGCGGCAAGCGACGAAGTAGAATCCTAACCATTATAGTTAGGCAACCATGTGTCTCGACTTTGCTGGCTTTCCTTCGTCTTCGTCTTCGTCTTTCTTTCTTTCTTCTTCTTCTTCTTCTTCTTCTTCTTCTTCTTCTTCTTCTTCTTCTTCTTCGTCTCTATCTCCTCCTCCCTCCTCTTCTTCCTCTTCCTCCTTATTCTTTCTCGTCTTCCTCTACCCCCTTCCCCCTCCACTCCAAATAGATTTCCAGTGCATGGAATGCTGCCAACGTGGAGATGGAAGGATACGAACAGCTTCATCTGGCCTCAGAGATGGAACTCGAAAATCTCTGTGAGGTACTCACATTAAGCAGATTAAGGAGCAACCACAGGATGGTGATTAGTGGGAGCAAGAGGCGCTCGCGGCAGCACAAAACCGCAATGTTGGATAACATGGACCATCGCATCCAACAGAGGGGCAAGCTCTTGGAGGATATCACAACTTTGAAGAAGGAAAACCGGCGACTTCGAAGGATTCTTAATACCACTCTCCTCCTCATACTCGCCCTTTGCTATGTCATCACTCTCGATATGGTAGTTTGGCATCGCGCTAGTAATCGGTAACTTACAACATGTGCATGCATGATGCAGGTTTAGCTTTCTTTCAGCTCAGTGGAGGAAACAAGCATGTAGATTCCTAAGATTGTCACCGTCGAAATCGACCCGAAAATTTTCCTCCCATGACCTCCGGGAGGCCCGCATGCGGTCAGGATTGTGGAACCAGATCTCTGGGAGGCACAAAGGAGTAGACTACAACCGATTGTCTCCATTGATAATGACACACTAGCAGAAATCATGACTGCAACACCACCCCTCACGACTCTGTGTAGCGTCATACTTGGAGTTGAATACCGGGGTCTTCGTATAGGGGAGATACGTTGCCTGGTACTAGATCGGAGGACCACGTCATAAGTTGTGATACTAGACTGAGAGGGAGGATGGGGGAAGACGCCTTTCCTGGGAGGATGGAGGGAATACTATGTGGCCTGCCATCCGAACTGCTTCAGCAATAAGTTACTAATAATCGAAAAACTAAAAAGAAAAACAAATAAAATCAGAGTGCAGAAGAGATCTAACGAGAGTTGCCAAATAGAATGGGAAAACAAAAAGGAAAAGTTTAGAAGAAAAAGCATAAGTAAAAAGGAAAACAGAAAATCTCACTACTTTACACGTCACTGCACGTCACGCAGTGCAGGAGATCCATTCGATCATTTCTGCAGAGTACTAAAAGCAGTACAACACGGTAGCGACAGCAAAAACAGCTACTGCGAAGACCCCCACCCAGAACATCTCGAATGTCGATCATGAAACTTTGTGCTTCCTACTGGAAGCCCCAAAAATCAAAGGAGAAACAGTCACAATCAAAGTCAAAAACACTAAAAACGACATGGAAGAAGAGGTGACTGTTTGGTCGTATCCAAAAGAAAAGATCGCCAACAACAACGCTACGTATGAGAAACATGCCCTCATTTTCACCTTTTCCAACGCGGGGGCACGACTCTCCCCCATCGAGAAAAGGAAATGGGTGGTTAAATCAATCCAAGAGCACGAGAACATCAAAACCAACATTGACAAGTTCTCCTTGCTCGGGCTAATCAGAACAATGATAACCGTGGTTTTCAAAGACGCAAACCAAGCAACACACCTGTCGAGAAAATGTGAAACTTTGAACTGCATGTAACATTTGGTATCGGAACTCCGCACGTGAATCTGGACAACCTGATCTGACACGTGTGCGGGGACTAGGTAGCTGATTAGTCTTTATTGATTGATTAGAGCACACTACTTAGCCCCCCAAATCACGATTTCGACCTTACTGCCGAAAATCGATTTTTTTTTTTTTTTTCTTGGATTTTGTTTTCTCGCTATTCTGTTGTAGCGCAACATATGAAATTTCCATTTTCGTTTTCCTTCTAAAATTTCGAAATTTCATTGTTGAAAATCCGAAATATCCTTCTTTTCGAAAATTTCGATTTCCTGTTGCATTTCCCGTTACTTATAAAATTTGGAATATCTTCTTTTTCGAAATTCGTTTTTCGGAAAACGGTACGGGAAATCCCTCCTGCAGGTATTATTTTCCAAACTGCGAATACTCTCATCTAAGTAAATCCGAATACTTATCATTTCTTTTCGGAATTTTTTTTTGCAGTTCTAGGATTTTGTCAGTCAGTTCTATAATCCTTTGCAGTCTGAAGTCCAATTTTTTTTTCTCTCATTGATCATTTCGCACTTCAAGGGAGGTTGGGAGACCTACTGAATTTGCAAAACTCGGGAATTTTATTATTTCGAAATTTTTTTTGCAAAGTTCAAACTTTTCTTTTTGATTAGTGGCTCGTTATCTGGGCGATTCTCCCCACCCACCCTCCCCACCTATGTTGTTGCCCCCTCTGACCTTACCTTCTCTATCCATCTCCGGGTACCCCATGCGGCAACATTGGTAAGTTGCCACGTCAACAGGCCACGTCAGCAGACTATGTCAGCAGGCCACGTCAGCAGGCCACGTCAACCGACAACAGTGCCACGTCAGCAGCAGGGAATACCACGTCAGCAGGCCCCCGGCCTGGTCTATGCTGTTGCGTTCACAAACAGCCGTCATGCACCAGAGGTCCGGAGAAGCAGACGAGGCCTATCACGCCCGGATGCTGGCTTGGAGTACCGAAACAAAGAGACGGGCGGATGACGCAGCAACAGCAGCGAAAAAGAAGGCAAAGGACGCCGAGCAAGCACATCTGCTGGAACTTGAACAACAGCGCCAGCACGACGAGGCAGCAGCAAAGGCTGCTGATGAAGAACGAGTTCAACGGCGGGAGAAAATATTTAGCGGAGAGCAAACATTGCTCACAATGGCAGCGGAATGGCGGACCGGGGCCGAGAATGGCAAGCTGGAGGATAGTGAAAACAAGATTGCTCTCCTCCTCTCCCATCTCACAGACCTCCTGGCTACATGCATTACACAGCAGGAGGACATCCACAGCCTCAACGACTTACTGGCTCAAGTCCACGGCCGCCTCCGGGAGCTGGAGCGGTGACCTGTCGCCGCCCCCGATGCAAGCTCTTCCAACACCTCCGATCGCCTCAAAGCATTGGAGATGGACGTCGGCTCCCTCAAGGACGACGTGCAGTTACAGCAGACCGCAACGCAACAGTTGGAACAACGGATCTGTACTGCCGCCAACAACTCGAGTTCAGAACCGCGCGAGACAACTCCAAAGTTTGACGGGCAGGAGATCTTCTGCGACTCGACGAAGACAAATCCGATATCATGGTTGCGCAAGTTCGAGCTCACTCTACAGCTACACTACGTCAAGGAACACAAGCACCACACGTACTTATACTCCCGGTTGGGGGGCGCGTGCCAGGCATGGTTGGACAATCTCTTGTCCAAGTACGGAGTAGTAGCTGGCGACTTGCACACCAAGATCAACTGGGATGATCTGAAGGCGGTGTGGCACAAGCGGTTCCAAGTCGAGCCGCCGGAGATCAAGGCTATGGACAAGCTCATGGTCTTCGAACAAGGCACGCTGCCGAGTACCGACTGGATTGCCGAGTACCAACGCTTGACATCAGTCCCAGACATTCAAATGGGCTTCAAAGCCATCCGCCACTATTTCATCTCAAGGTCGTGTCCGACATTAAGCAATGCCCTGACTCACGTCGAGGACACCTTGACGACAACGGCGGAACTCTTTGACAAGGCCGCGCAGATCATCATTACGAACAAGGAGGCTAAGAACCTGCGTTCATCTGCGTCAGGCCCGAGCAGAGACCAGCATCGGCCAAGAGTGGCCGTGGTCCCAGCGGCAACGCCGTTTGACCAAACTAGCGAGGCCGTGTCTGCCAATGAAGGGGACAGACTCGCAGCCGCCCGGGAAGGTGGCCGCCCTGGCAAAGATCGAGGACGCGGCAAGACGAAGACACACAATGCATCTAGCCCCGGGCCCGCGCAACAGCTCCAGCCCCATGGTCTCAGTACGGCATCTCTGAGCAAGCATTCAAGGCGCGCACGAGATTCCACTATTGCCTATGGTGCAACAGCGATCTCCATGAGACACTGGCCTGCCCATTGAAAGGCAAGGGCAAACAGGGAAACTGAGCGCCGCCGAGAGTGACTCGACGACACTCTCGACGCCTTCGAAACCGGTCGCTTTGCGGGTGACAGTCCTTCGTTCCAAGGCACATGCGGAAGTCGATAGTCCTCTTCTATATTCTTTTGAGGACTACGCTGCCCGGCTCGTTCCTACGTTGGGTACTCAAGCTCAAGGACAAGACGTGTGTGCAGCATCTTCTCCGTCCGGCAGCGGCGGCTTATCGTCTTCAAGTGGTTCTTCACGGGATTCGGCGCGCGAGTTCAACATAGAGGTATTGGACCCGCTCACGTCCGAGGACTTCGCATGGCTTCCTCTCCCGACCACGGGCCGCCTGCCGGGACCGCAATGCGCAGCACTATGCGCTCATCTCCACACATACTTATCCTTCTATGCACCACCAACTCCGCCGCCGGATGACGAAGTCGCGGTGGGGGACATCCTTGCGTATGTTACCAAGGTGGCCCGCGAGTTTCGCACGCAGCGGTACGATGACAACAACGCACCGCTCCTTTATGTCCGCATCCAAGTTGGGCAAGTGTCTTGCAGCGCTTTGCTGGATAGCAGAGCGACTCGCAATTTCATGAGCCAAGCGTTTATGCAAAGGGCTGGCCTTGGCGCACAAGTTCGGAGGAAGGCAAACTTGACGACGATCAAGTTGGCAGGCAAAAGGACGCAACAACTTATCAACCRTTACTTCGAGGCCGCACCGGGGTATTTCGCACCTCATGCATGCGAACCGGTGACGTTCGACATTTTGGACACGGACATCGATATCATTWCGGGAATGCCTTGGYTTGCAAGTGCGGATCACACGGTCAACTTCCACCGGCGGACTCTTAGCGTTCGCGACGCCTTCGGCGCCGAAGTACCGTGTACTATTCCTCTACCGCACCCTTCGATTCGGTGCCAAGTGGTGACGGCCACGTCAATTCTTCCCCCACGGCCTTGTCTTCGGACCCCCGTGTGGTACGGTTGCTTAACGAGTTCACCGACATCTTCCGGTGTGGTGCTGGATCGGCTGATCTCTCACGAGATCATTCTTGAGGCCGGTGCCGCGCCGCCGAAAGGCTGCATTTACCGCAGCTACGACAACAGACCGACCAAATACTTGGTACACTTTGTGTACTGATGCAAGGCAAGGCGGTATCTTCGGCTCCACGTCGCACCCGCAACCAGGTTCCACCTTCAGATCGTCAGCTTCGCCCTCGACCCGGCTTGACTTCATAAGCAGGGGGGGGTGTTACATGCCGCGCCCGCAACAGGCTGCACGGGCCATTGTCAGGCCCGTGTCGTTTTCAGCCTGAAAGCCTGAAAACGAGGGCCTACAGGCCCTGTGTCGTTTTCAGCCTAAAAGCCTGAAAACAAGGGCCTACAGGCCCTGTGTCGTTCCAGGCTAAATCAGGGCCTTTCCAACCCTGAGTATTTTCAGCCTGAAACTGAGGGCCATTTTCAGGCCCTCATCAGTTCGACCTGCCCTGAAACTCAGGCTCCAGACCAGGGTTTTAGCTCAGGCCATTTTTGGCCTATTTTCAAGACAACCTTTGTTTGAGTTTCAACCCCAGGGTCTGGCACGTTTTGGCATTGGCAAGAGCAGCCTCCTGGACGGGCCAGCACTATATAAGACTGGCCTGCCCTGGAGGCTGCAGGTAATTGGGAGGCCGCTCCTAGGTACTTCCCAGGCACTTCACGTGCAGGCAGGAGGCAGTCAGTAGTCTTCAGGATTCGGCAACAACACTCTGGAGGGAGCGCTGCAGGAGTAGTGTAGCGTTAGCATTAGTCTTCAGCGCTGGGCGCAGTAGGTAGTTGTAGTCTTCAGCATTGGGCGCCATAGCTAGGATAGCACTAGAGAGAGAGAGATTGGGCGGAGGCCAGGATTACCTACCTGCAGCGCCGTTGCTCCAGCTTCGTCTTCGAGGTACCTGCAGCACAGTGCCAACTTCACAGGTTAGTCTCTGGGTTGTGACAGAGAGAGAGTTCTTCTTCTTCCTCTTCTCAGTCCACCATCTCCCTCTCACCCTCTCATTATCCGACTTCACTCCATCAGCAGACTACGAGAGAAAGAGAGAGAGAGAGCTTGGTGACATTGGATCTAGACTCGACTTTTGGGCTTCAGACATTGCGACGAGGGATTATTTGGGACTTGTGACAAAGACTTGGTGTTGACGACATTCCCATCTCTCCCCCTCTTCTTCGTCTGATCCCCTCCTCTTCGTCTGTGTATGTTTGGACCTGGCGCTTCCTTCCTCTGTACAGCGCCAGGCTCCTTCACACCTTGTGATGGACACGATGTATGTTTGGTCTGCGTTCAAACATTGATTGGGCTAGTGATTAGCATCCTAGCATTCTGCTTCGCTATCTTATACTACGTGAATGAGGTCAGTCCCAGTCCGGTCAGGATTTGTATCTAAGTCTTCCCTGCGCTATTCAGCACCATTTTGTATGTATCAGAATGCACATTGCTTGTTGAGATTCTACTTGGACTGCATTGTACATTCAGTCCTTTTTATCACATTGCGGATCCTCGGTTATTATGTACATCGCCCAACTGGGCATGTAACAGTCTCTCTTGTCCAAGCCTTACCTGTGGCTCCTGCGCATCACCGATGATAAAGGATCTAATGGCAAGTGCACGAGGACGATGGCCTGCTGCAGCACGGTTCGAAGAGATTAAGCAGCTGGTTGGCCACCATGCTGTCCTACTGGCCGGCACCTGGGCTCACGGACTTCTGGAGCAGCACTCTTGACATGGACATCAGGCTCAGTCTGCGACCTGCTATCCGGATCAGACTTCATCATCAGAATCGTGTACCGGACGCACCCTTGCACTTGAACCTTCATCTATTGGACTGCTACACTACTTCTTTCAAGCTGGAACCCTCGCTACTACATGTCGCAAGCCTCCTGAAGACTGGTTTATCATCAGCATTTTGTACCCGGACTTACTTCAAGACCTGCTTCAAGACTCTCAGCTAGACCATTTTGCAAAATCGTAAGATATCATTCCTAGTTAGTGGCGATTGGCCCTTTGACATGTTGTTGGGCATGTACTACCTTGAGGTTGCCAAGCCCGAGTTTGACTGGGACAAGAAGGTGTTGAAGCACGAGTTGCCTAATGGGAGGACCGTTTGACTGGCTAAGTATAAAGCCAGTAGGTTAATAGACTCCTATGGGTGTTTATGCGCATCTGCCTTCTATAAACCAAGAGGAAGGAATGTACTTAGTCTATGTCTCTGGAAAAGGGGATGTCGTTAAAACACCCTCAGAGATAGCGACAATCGTCGCTAAGTACCCTGATCTATTCGAGGAGCCCTCAGGAGTCGTAGACAGAGAGGTTGTCCATGCCATAGAGATCATCCCAGGTAGCAAGACACCTAAAGGGAGAATCTATAGGATGGCTCCGACCGAGTTCGACGAGCTTCGTCGGCAACTGAAAGAGCTCACAGAAAAGGGTTGGATTCGGCCTAGCACTTCCCCCTTTGGCTCACCAGTCTTATTTGTTCCAAAGAAAAGGGGAATACTAAGGATGTGCATTGATTATAGAGGGGTCAATACCATCACCGTTAAGAACGCAGAGCCTCTACCACACATCGACAACCTATTGGATAGGGTGCAGGGGTGTAAGTACTACACCAAGATAGACTTAAAATCCGACTATCATCAGATTGCCATAAGATCAGAGGACCAACACAAAACCGCATTCCAGACCAGGTACGGTCTGTACGAGTTTGTGGTGATGTGCTATGGCCTTTGCAATGYGTCGGGTACATTCCAGCACACCATGAATAGGATCTTCCATGACTACTTAGATAAGTTCGTCGTCGTGTACCTCGACGATATACTTATCTTTAGTAAGAYTGTCGAGGAGCATGCTCAGCATGTAGATAAAGTCATCTCACTCCTTCKGCAGCACAAGTATAAGATAAACAAAGAGAAATRGGAGTTCGGTCGCAATCGAATCTTGTACTTGGGTCATGAAGTATCCTCCGATGGGATTAGGCCGGAAGATGCGAAGGTGGCTAGGATACGTGACTGGCCACGACCYTASTCTGTGACTGAGGTCAGATTATTCTTGGGAATGTGTGGTTATTATCACAATTTCGTAAAGAATTATAGTATGATCGCATCTCCCTTGACTGATCTAACTCGACTTGACACGCCATGGGACTGGACCGACGAGTGTGAGGCAGCATTCAAGCGTTTGAAGCATGCTCTCATGGTACCCGATCCGCAAAGGCCATTTGTTGTAACCACTCTCGCAAGCCAATAYGRCATTGGCGTAGTGTTGGCTYAACAGAAAGGGAAAAAGTTGAAACCGGTCGAGTACATGAGCAAAAAGATGTCATCAAAGAAGTTGGCAAAGTCCACCTACGAGAGGGAACTCTATGCTCTCTACAAGGCACTTGYCCACTGGAGGCWCTRTCTATTAGGAAGGTTCTTCTATTTGAGAACTGACCATCAGACCCTCAAGTCGATCAAGACCMAACCAGTTGTCTCCGATGCACTCAAACGCTGGATTGAAGTCATAGATCAATATGACTTCAAACTAAACTATATGAAGGGAGAGTACAACAAGGTTGGGGACGCATTGTCTAGAAGGGCAGATTACCTAGTTGCGCTGATTTCCGAGTTTGGCTTATCTGAAGACGTGACTCGATCTTTGGGAGAAGCCTACAAGGAAGATCCCATCACGATGGATATCATCAATAAACTGCAGGCCAAAGACAAGGCCACCACTGACGAGTTTGCGATGGTGGATGGGTTACTCTTTCCTGAAAAGGCGGGGTTTAAAAGGTTAGTTGTTCCATCTAGGGAAGTTTTGCGTAGTTTATTTTTAGGTGAGTGCCATGACGCAACGGGACATTTCGGCTACAAGAACACTAGTGTTAATTTAATACAGCGACTTTGGTGGCCTAACATGCTAGACGATGCAAAGAAATACGTAGAGACCTGCCAGGTCTGTCAACGGGACAAGCCGCGGACTCAAGCTCCGCTTGGGTTACTAAAGCCTCTACCCATTCCTACTGGCCCAGGGCAAAGTATCTCCATGGACTTCATGGATACTCTCGTGACCAGCAAGAATGGCAAGAGGCACATCTTCGTCATAGTTGATATGTTCACTAAGTACGCTAGACTAATTGCCATGCTGGAGACTGCCACGACTGAACATGTCATCGAGTTATTCATGGATAACTGGGTGCGTGACTTTGGACTGCCAAAGACAATCGTTAGTGATAGAGATGTGCATTTCACAAGTGAGATGTGGAAGAAGGCTGCTGAACAGATGGGCAGCCAGCTTCAGATGACTTCAGGGAATCATCCCGAAGCAAATGGGTAGGCTGAACAGATCAACCGTGTGGTGCAGCATCTGCCGAGGCATTACATCAAGCCCAACCAGGATGACTGGGATGAGAAATTACCTCTCATCGCCAGCCTGTACAACAATGTTGTACATAGCACCACCAGCATGAGTCCTAATCAGCTGCATCTGGGATGGAATCCTAGATCTGCTCTACACTGCCTCCTGTCTGAAAACCGAATTGTTGCAACTCCTGGAACCATTGAATTTCGTGTCCAGTATGAGAAATTGTTGCAGCAGACTGTCGAACACATCAAGACACCTCAGGAAGCTATGATTGCTTCTGAGAACAAACGTCGCCGACAATCCACATTTCAGGTAGGGGAACATGTTTGGGTCAAGGCTAGTAAGTTGTCACGGGAGTTTGGCATCTCTAGGAAAGTAAGGCCTCTGTATTTTGGTCCCTAGGAAGTCTTGGATATTGGGGGGAATGATTTGGATGGTCCCACGTACGTCATTCGTATCCCTGGTCACCTACACACTTACCCTGTTTTTCACGCCTCCAAGCTTGCACCTTTCGTTGAGACAGCACAGTTCCCATCACAGAGATCTATGCTGCCCCCAACCATGGATGGCCACATGGACGTCGACGACATCCTGGATCACAGAGACATGGTTGTTCCCAAGCCATCTGGCAAGGGAAGACGTTAACTTGCAAGGGAGGATTTCAGGCATCATACTAATCCTAAGGAAGATCGATGGATTTCAAGGGAGGAACTTGTGAAGACAGTGCCTCAGATCGTGGCAGATTATGGGAAGAAACTGAAGGGGAAGGCGCCAACATGAAGCATCTCAGCGGACTTTCGAAGCTAAGGGGGATGGAATGTGAGGAATAAGCCCTCAAGCCTTGACAGTTGCGCCTGGGCACATACACACAAAGCAGGGCCGATACATTGGGAAGTAGGCCGCCGGCGTTTGGAAAAGCGGTACTGCCTATGCACCTACCTGGGAGCCTTGCACAAATGCAGCAAAGCAAACAGCCCAAGTTCGAGATTCAGGCCGTCCCCAACTGAAAAGGGCCCAGACCCTCAACTGTAGTATCGGGTCTGGGCACGAGGTCTGAGGCCCAACCGGAAGTTACTGGACGCTTCCAGCCAGGCCACACGCAGCATCCAAGAGGCTGCCACTTCCATAAAAGAAGTGAGGCAGCCCAGGCGAGCGATTCTGGCCAGTACAGGCAATGCGGAAGTGCTGCTGCGCTCCTGCTTGTTGTTGCGCTGTTGCCAAGGGCGCTGACGGGGCGCGTAAAGGTGAAGGGGGGCGCTGCAGGGCAGCGGGCCGCAGGCAGCCATAGCCGGGCTGCTGGGCGCCAGGGGGTACAGCGGACGATCTGGTGGTCTTTAGGGAAGGAGGCGCAGGGTGGGGTAATCAAGGTCTGATTGAGGGTGATGAGATACGTACCTGGTACATGAAGAGAGGTCGGCTATGGTGTTGACAGTCATGTACATTGGTCTTCGAGAGTCGAAGTGAGCCTGTTGCGTGAACCAGCTGTAGGTAGGATAGTCGGGTAGAGTAGGCTGGGCGTTGGGCGCTGGGCGCCAGACAGAGAGGAGCGACTTTGGATATTGTGCTGGTGATGCCTACAGGCTTGAACATTGGCTCATTACTTCATTGTATTGCACTATATGGATGGTTTCTCTGTGCATTTTGTACTGTCTGCTTGGACACAACTACCTAGACATCTGTGTGATTTCGCAACTGGTTTTCTGTAAATCGTTCACACTCATATTCCTTGCAATAAGTGATGAAATAAAAAAAAAAGTATTTTGTAGGAATTTGGCAAAAGGAAGATGTTAAACCACTAGTACCTTTGCCGCGTGGGAAAATAGCGGGCCTCGGGTAGGCGTCCGACCTTTTCGAGGCCGAAACGAAATGACAACCGCCATTTATGAATGGCAGTCGTCGTCGGGCCCGACCTCCGAATATTTAGGAGTTTGGGAAAACTGCCAGTTTTCCCTATTTTCCCACGCGGGAAAGGTACTAGTGGTTTAAACAACTAGTACCTTTGCCGCGTGGGAAAATAGCGGGCCTCGGGTGGGCCTCCGACCTTTTCGGAGGCTGAAACGAAACGACGGCCGCCGATTAGATTTATCAATGGCCCGACCTCCAAATTTTTAGGAGTTTGGGAAAACTGCCACTTTTCCCTACTTTCCCAACACTGGCAGAGGTACTAGTGGTTTAAAATTCCAAAAAACGCTAGGCTACCAGAGTGGCCCGGGGTCACTTGCCCGGTCGGGCCAAAAACATTTAAAATTTTAAAAATAAAAAAAAAGATTTTTAAGTTTATTTTTTATTTTAAATTTGGTGAAGAATTTCGATGTGACCCTGAGGTAAAAGTTGTTCAATTTATTTTTTGCATAACACAATTTTTTTGTGGATTTTTTTTTTTTTTTTTTTTTTTTTTTTTTTCTGGACCTTCCCTGGTCCTTTCCCTGGCTGGACACGCGGGGGACAGCCGGCCTGGCAGGTTACCAAGTTAAACAGACAATGAATTTCGAATAAAAATATTAATTCCGA